CCCGAAGCTGACTTATTAGTAGATTCTTTTTACACAGGCTCTTCATATGTCCTTGCTCTCCACAGTTCCAACAACCTCTCTGGGTAGTAGCCTTTCCTGCTGTGTCATCTTCCCTGTGTTGAAGTTTCCAGCATTGAGCTTTCTTGTGCCCAGGTTTGTTACAGTGCCAGCAAAGTCCCTCAAACCTCTTTGAAAGCTGACCTCTTCTGGCCTTGAATCATGATGACTGTACCAACGTTGGTACCTCTATGCTGGACTTAACATAGGATTCAAATTCAAGAGCTCTGGCCATTGCATCCTGCATAGTAGATGGGTGTGCTTGCTTTACTTGTATCTGTAGTTGTGGACTGTCCAAGGCATCTTCAAACTGATCCCTCAGCAACAATTTTGGCTTTGGCATTACCACGGTCCAGGACATTTCAGTTGGAACGAAGTGAATAATGGAACAAAAAACGCCGCCGAAAACGTGTCACCTGAAAAAGCCGCTGTCGAAGAAGAAACTCTACTCTGTTTGAGAAGGGAAACAGTGAAGCCCTTGATGAAGTTACTACCACTGATGTGACTATTACCGATAATAGGACATTTCCTGATGGAGCAGATGAACCCCACGTGAAGCAGAAGCCAACGAGACGGAGACCAGTACGGAAGAAGATACGTTCCGTAAAATTAAAAGACTTTGTTGAATTTTAATTTTGTGTTTGTAAATTCTGTACATTTAATTAAATTATTGTTAATTTTCTAATGGTTTAATGTAAGTGGCTATTGTTCGGGACGAAGGGGCAGTGTTACGACAGCGAAAGTCACGTGACTCTGGTAACACGTAATGAGTATCTAAAACGTTTGTGAAGAGTCGAGTGTTTACCAGACGCCCTCTATTTCGTATATATAAGACGGGCGAAAAGTGACGGCACATAGTGGTAGATAGAATTGTATAGCAGACAGAGAGATTGAATATATAGACGGACAATTGAGTCAAGCGCGGTAGTAAGTAAAGTGCGTGAATTGTTCGTTGTAAATTATATCGTGTGTTTAAGTTAAGGTAACTGCGGAAATTAAGTGTATTGCAAAGTTGTATTGAGAAAGAATAAATTAGTTTTATTTGAGAAAGGACTTGTATCGCTGAAGTTCTTCGGAAAGAAATTTTACGAGTAATTAACAAACGACCAGAGACGTAACAATATACATATCTGATTAATTAGAAAAGAAAAACCTAAACTAATGACGTCACTGACAATTAGAATGTCAGGGTACAACAATGAATACATCAAGTTTTGTTTACTTTGGAAATTGACTGCTTGAGATTTAGAATATCAAGCAATGTAGAATCTATGAAAATAAGAAATATTCCAATATGAAAATATATAATTTTGAGTGCACATTAAAAGAAGAAATTTGGCATTTACAATCATGTGTTAAAATGAAACTGAATATTGACGTTCCAGTTGGTGATAAACTTGTTCTTGCTTGACAATTGCGTAAGAATGATTCTTTGTCGCTTTTCAGTGGATGTTACTGTAACAATGCAATATAATTACGTATATGTATATAATTTTTCTATTCATTTATCTCAGTTGTAAAACAGTATAGTTTTTATCTACATCTATGCGATACTATTGTTTTTGAGGACATAGTAGAGTTGGGTGTTTTTAAATATAATATTTGGGTGAATTTAACTACACATTCTTATTTTCAGTAGTAGAGCTGATAAATATATCATATCTATATACGCCTTATTCTTATTTGTGTGACGGTCCATTGCAAAGATAATTTCCTTTGATATTTCGAGTAATATTAAAACAAATTAAACAAAACATATCCCCATTAAACACAAATATAAACTTACACATTTGAGTTAGCTACGTTTTCGCGGCGAAACTAGGTCTAAAACACTTAAACCTCAGCATTAAGTAATAAACTATCTGACACGCGGCTCTCACGTAACTAATATCTTGAAACAACGTTTGAAACCAACTTGTACTAGCGTTGACAAGTGTCGCGAGAAAAATAAACGGTACTTTTTTCAAAACTGCTTACTCTCAAAATGGCGATTTGCGTGGCTTCATTGGAATATTCTCTCGTGTTCCCAATATTAGTACAAGGTGGAAAAATAAGGAATTTAATAATATTAATAGTGTAGTGTAGAAAAATTCAAGTTCAAATTTAATTATTGTACAAGTGAAATCATAGTATGAAATTGAATTTTGCATTTTTCGTTAAAGATGACAAAAAAATAATCGTGCAGACCCCAATAAGCATCATGCAGGATGTAAAATTTCTCCAAAATTACTAATCGTACAGATACGATTACTTGGAACACGAGAGTAGAAAGTGTCAAGTGAGCAGGCCAGAAAGTTCACAACTGTGGGTGTGTTTTTTTAAATCAACAAGAGTAG